TATATTTGAAGATAAATGTACAAGCTTATTTGTGTTTCCTGTTCTAATAATTGTAGTATTTTTCTCTCTCCTTTCTTAACTTCTTTTAGATTATACATAACCCATGTATACTATACATAAATTTATATATGTTTGTGTATTTTAAATATTTCATTTTACATCTCCTTTAGATTGCTGGTAATATACTTTTTTATAATTTGAAGGGTTATCCTAAAGATTTCAACACACTTCCCTGACTTTTTTTTTTTTTAGGTCCTGAAGTGTTATTGCAATAGGTACTTTAGAAATGCACGTATACCCCAAATCATTTAGTATAGGGGAAAACGCAAGTGAATGCATTCAGAGCACTTAAATAAAAATCATGAAATAGGGTCTGTTATCTGAAGTGAAAGGGACTGAGAGTAGAACAAAAAAGCTAATCAATAGAGACTGTTTGGTGTGGTTTGGAGAAAGAGGAAAGGATAGGAGTAAACTACTCTTATGGTGACTCATTACTTCAATAATAGCTTTTTAGAATTATTGGGAAGAAAACAAGAAATCTGCGAAAATTATAAAATGTTCTTTTAATCATATGGAGAAGTTTTAAATAATCAAATATTTTGAAATCAGATAGATTTTCTCTTTGGTTACTTACTAGATGGCACCTGAATTTTATAGATTTTGTTGGGTCCTTGACTTATTAGTATCTAATATAAATTAGTGCTTTTACTATATCCAAGACAATCCAAGGACTTCAAACTCTTTAATTCCCCAAGTCCCTTTTTTTGTTCCATTGCTATCATGTATATTTTTTCTTTCTGTTTTAAATTTTATATTATGAAAAATTGCAAATATATGTAAGAGTAGAGAGAATAGTATAAGAAGAATAAAGAAACTCCACTACTTATCAATTTTTTGGGGTATCTATGTATACCCAACTCTGCACTCAAATTATTTGGAAGCAAATCCAAGACATGTTTTTACGTTACCTGTAAACATGTTGTATGTATCCCTAAAAGATAAGGATTCTTTTTAAACATAAAATACACCATGAGTTAACATAACTTCCAATTCAAATTCAAGATTATGTAGAGTTTACTTAGTCTCATAATTTTCATGTGTTTTAATTCACTTTGTATTTGTTTGATTGTTTGCTTTTTAGTCCTGCTTACCTTTATGGTACTTTGTGAATCTATGGTTTGATGTCTTTCAGGAAGTTTCGGAAAATTGATGGTCACTATATCTTCAAATATTGTTTCTTCCCACTCTGTCTTATCTTGTTCTGGGAATCCTTTTCACTGTGCCCATACGTTTCTCATTTTCTTTCTGTATTTACATTCTCCATGCTTCAATTTGATTATTTTTTTATGACCTATCTTCCAGTTTAATAATTTCTCTTTAGCTATGTTTAATTTGTTACTAAACCCATCTATTGTATTTTATATTAATAGCTTTGGTTATTTTATGTATTTTACTCTTAAATTTTCTGTTTGCTTATTTTCTATGACATTTAATCCTTCATCCTATCTCTCAACTTCTTAAACAGATTAGTAACAGTAGTAAACTACGTGTCTGATAACTCCAATAGCTGAACCTCTTGAGCAACTCTTTTTATTGTCTATTTTCTCCTTGTTTTTAGTCAATTATAGCCTTTTTGCATCCTCAGTTATTTGTTAAAAGTGATGAACATTATGCATGAAATATTATGGGTAATTTGATGTTATTGATGATGTTATCTTCATCCATAGAGGATTTACTTTTGTTCTTGGCAGAAGTTTGAGTAAGTGCAGAGGTAGGTCATGTTACTCCAGTTCAGGGTTTGAGCTGTATTTCAGTCTTTGTGAGGGCTGATCTATTTTCAGTTCACTCTTTTTTTTTTTAAAGATTTTATTTTTTTCCTTTTTCTCCCCAAAGCCCCCCAGTATATAGTTGTATATTCTTCGTTGTGGGTCCTTCTAGTTGTGGCATGTGGGACGCTGCCTCAGTGTGGTCTGATGAGCAGTGCCATGTCTGTACCCAGGATTCAAACCAACGAAACACTGGGCCGCCTGCAGCGGAGCGTGCAAACTTAACCACTTGGCCACAGGGCCAGCCCTATTTTCAGTTTACTCTTACTTTTAAGTTGTAGCTTTTCAGCAGTCCCAATAGAAACGATGGGGTATTTATGAAAGCCCCTACACTTTGGCAGAGCAATTTTTGCCCAATCAGTCCAGTAAGGCTGACAAAAGTTCTAGTCAGCTCTTAAGCTCCCACCCTCTGCTTTTAAATCAGCTAACATCTTAAGAGGAATAGTGGTGCCAAATATTGGACTTACATCTCAGGGTTCCCTGCTCTATGGCATCTTGGCTTCTAAAGTCTTTGCTGTCTTGGTAGCTCTGTGATACATTCTAATAAATGTTTACACTTGTCCAGATTTTCTAATTGTTGTAGGTAGGAGTATTATTCTTAAACGAACAAGTTCAAAATTTTTGAAAGCTGAAGATCACATAATATATTCTTGAACTATCATTATGTATCTTACAGTTATATACAATTCAGACTACTTTATTTTTATCCATGACATATGTAAGTACATAAGTAAGTATAAACATGAATGTGTATGTTTGTTTCTCTATTTTTGTAGCTGGCTCCAGGGTTCTTTTTTAGGGAGGAACTTCCTTTGTTAAAAAAAAATGCCTGATTTTTTTGTTCTTTTGGAAGATGTAATATCCCCAAGGTCGTGGTTTGAAAAGAATAGGAGAAAAAACTCCTTGGCATATAATAAATAGGTATTTCTAGGAGAGAGAAAGTAGAAAAATGAAAATAAGACACAAGCCTAAAGCAAGGTAAATCAAGAAATTTCTGGTGGCAGCTGAAAGTTTTGAAACTATATAATATTTAATTTTAATATATTTGCTTTGCTGTAATGCAATCTCCCTCTGTTGCCTGAAACATTTAGTAAAGTCTTTTAAACATAGAAAGTCATGTTTCTGTGGATCATTTTAAAGAAAATAAAAGGGAGCTGAATGCCTTCTTAGGGTCAGTATGGATTTAAAAAAAAAAAAAAGACTAACTAGGGAAAGTGAGATGGCCGTGAAAGAGAGCAGTTGAGTGGAGTTAGGGAGTAAGAAGCAGAAGTGATGAGTAAGAATATAAAGTCCAGAAAATCGGAACAAATCTTGGGGAGCTCATTAACATGGAATAGGGGTCTCGAATCAAATTTATATAAATCTCAAAGAATAGGATCCTTCAGTTGATAGCTGAATAACCTTAATATACATACTGAAGACTCAGATAAATATTCTCAGCTTTCTTACCAAAGGATCTGAGACCATCGTGAAAGGTATATGGAGGAAATTTTCATATCTTAAATAATAACTTAGCTTTCTCGGCAAAACTTTCCTCTCCAAGAATTCTTATCTTGAAATGCTCCTGGTCTGACCTCTTGAGTTTTTCCAGAGGAAATTAACAAATAAAAAACAGACTAGGTAGAACAATCATCAGAAGTTAAGCCCAGGTCAATATGGCAGACTATGGATTTGAATAGAACACACAACTTTTCTCTTTGATAATAGATGGTAAAATTTCAGTTATTCATTTAATGATTATTTTTGACAATACTTTAAATTTCATGCTGATCTCCTTGCCATCTCTAAATTCTTACACTCTAATGGAACACATAGTTCCATAAAATGTGGGCTGCAATTGAGGAAATATAACGAAAGTAAATTATTACACCCTCATCGAGGGATTTCTCATCTTAGCGTTAGCTGGATAATCCTAATTACTCTTTACTCCTACAATCATAGCAGTGAGAAATGGGGCTCCTGCTTACAGGATAGCCTAGAGTTTTACCCATCATAAGTTGCACTTTTTAGCTCAGGTTCCTCTTACCATCTCTATGTTTCTCAAGGGTGCCTTTATTTTTCATCCTGGTCACTGTAACTCAGACAGATGGGATTTCTACACTTTGTTTGAGAAAGAAGTAGGGGAATTTCAGGCTATCAACAATGTACGGCTAAGGTTCTCTTGTAAGTTACAGTGTCATATTGTGACCCAAGACTAAATTCCCAAGAACTCTCCACTGCCATTACCGCAACTGAGAGTACAGCACAGGTTGAAATGTACCAAACAACCCTTTCTGACAGTCATCTACCATTGATTCTTGTTAGCACTTAACACTTTGAAACAATTTTTTGCATTTGCCTTACAGTCTGACCCAAATTGAACTCATGTGATTGCCATCTTGTTCCCAGAACTCAGGACACCAAGCCTGTCTCAGGCTGGACTCTCTGGGAATCCCATATGCCCACTCTCTTCTCTGGCCTGTGCAACATGACTCTCCCTGGTTATGTTATCCTTTTGAACGTGGGCCCTATCTATTTGGACTCTACCCATCTCTGTGGGTTTCTTTCTTTCACAGATCATTTTTTTAGCTTAAGAATGTATCACCATTGCCCCTCTAGGTGTGATGCATTCGCACTTTGTACTGGCCATTCCCAAAATCCACATTTTGGCATCTTGATCCTGGATATTATCTCATGTCCTTATACTATGCCCAGTAGTGGTGTCACACATCACTTACATTTAAAAAGCAATGCCCACAGACTCAAATCTGCAAAACACTTGAGACTTGACATTTAGTATTGAATAAAGATAATGCTGGTCCATTTTCTGGGATATATTCCTTAAGCTCATAACATAGTATGATATACTAATACTACCTTAGTGAACTAGGGAGGCTTCTGTGTATAGAAAGCGTGAAACCTTATAGAACCCTTTCGTGGCACTGATGATGGTACTTTCAAGTCTGTGTATACTGAGTTATTTTAATAATGGAATCTTATGGATATTTAAATGTGTTAAATTTCCTGGAAGAAAAATTCAAACATGGGATTTATATCCCTATAGAATTTACTCCCACATTTGCTGATGCCTTTGGACTGATAAGATACCATTTCTAGTGGTAAAATAATTGGAAGTGAGGAGCCATAGCAATTTTACACACAGCCTCCTCCTCTCCCACCTGCGTAGTTACTTACCTGTGATGGCCAGCTGGGTCACAAAGAAGGTCATTCTCGACTTCCTCTTCCTCCTCCATATGGAGAACAGCACGATGGAGTTTCCAACAATGGTGAAAACAAAGAGGACCCACAGAGTTATCAGCTGCTCAGTCTGTAAGAAACAAAGCAACACAAAACCGGTGCCCCAGTGAGGGCCAGGGTACTTTATAGAATGCAAGGCTCAGGGTTGTTGCTGGAATGTCTTCCGCCTGTTCTCCTATCCCCATCCGTCAAAGCTCTCTCTCAAGAGAACAAAGACACAGTGGTCCTTATTTGCACTGATAGCAGTATAAATTGATGCTAACTTAAAAAACAATCTATTTGGAATATATGTCGAGACAAAAATATATATGTATATATGCCTTGACCAAGCAATTTTAAGTCCATGTGAAAGAATTCAATGTATGAATAAAGAACACTACAATCAGAAAGATGTGCATATTTATTGTAAGAAGAAATTGGAAATTGTTTAAAGATAACAGGATAGTTAAGTAAATAAGGCACTTCAATTCAGTGAACTATTGTGTAGCTATTAACGATGACAGCCGTGAAGATTATGTAGTAACATTAAAAATGCTTATAATGGTAGGTGGAGAAACATGATAAAATTGCATATTGGGTATGATTACAACGCTGCAAAATTATACACGTAGGTAAAAGACTGCAGTAGACTGAAATGTTAAGAGTGGTTATTTTAGGGTAATGTGATTATGGGTTATCTTACTCTTTTTTCCTTTGGCAGAATTTTATAATATAGCAATATTAAAGTTCCACTGAATAATGTATAGTTAGTAAAAACAAACAAACAAAAAAATCAGGAATGCTACTCATTTAATATTCCAAGTCCTTCCTAAAATTTTTTTTGTGATTCCTTCAAACAGAGCTTTTCATCTGTTTAAAGTCCATCGCCCAGAATAAGCAGAGGGCCAGGGCTCTGGGATAGACTGGACAGAGGAGCAGGGTAGGGCTGGGCCCTGAGTGAAGAGTGTGGGGCCAAGGCGATCCAGAAGTGAGCCTGAAATCAAAAGCCAAGAGGCATCAACCCAAAAGGTCTGGGAAGAATTCTGGTCAGAATGCAGAAGTCTAAGACAGAAATCTGAGAGCTGCTTCTGTTTCGAGGAGAAGATCAGAAGAGCCTGAAGAAACCCCTGTGGTGGTAAAATTGTATGTCTCAGCTTGGCCAGGCTAGAGAGCGCAGCTGTTTGACCAATGCTAGTGCAAGACGTTGCTGTGAAAATATTCTGTGGATGTGAGCAACATCTACAATCACTTGACTTTGAGTAAAGCAGATTACCCTCCATAATATGGGTGGGTCTCATCCAATGAGTTGTGAGCCTTCAGAGCAAAAACTGAGATTTCCTAGAGAAGAAGGAATTCTTCCTCAAGAATTCCTTGAGTAACATAAGAATCGTGGCTGAATTTCCAGTCTGCTGCCCCCTTTATGGATGTCAGACTTGCCAGCCGCCACAAGCACGTAAGCAATTTCCTCAAAATAAGTCCTTCTCTCTCTGCGTTCCTATATACACCTGTTGGTTCTGTTTTCTGTGCAGAACCCTGACTAATACACTCCCTGAGTGTCTGAGGCATCGGGGCAGCATTTTTTCTTAAAGTAAATTAATTTTATATTATACAATAACAGATGAATAATTCTTCTTTAGGAAGTCTAACAATTCAGATAAATCTCAATTCCCTTCATCACTCTCCATCTTGATCAACTCCCCTCTCCCAGAAGGTAAACATCATTTTGAGTACATTGTATATCCTTCCAATCCTTTGAAAAATACTTTATAAACACCCCCCCCCCCACACACACACACACTGACATACACACACACACATACATATCCATAGCAAATATATAGTAGTTTTTGTGTGGATATTAGTTTGATATTTACTATACTCTACACATTGTGGAACTTGCTTTTTAAGTCAGTTGGAGGAATGACTAAATAAAAGATGGTACTTTCATACTTTCAATGGAATACAATATTTCAATTAAAAGAAATGGATTAAACATACTGGAAATACGTTGAAGACGTAGGGAAGCATATGGACTGACGGAGAAGAGGGAGCTGATAAGCGTACTGAGTCAGCCCAGATTTTCTTAGCATCTAATTCTCCCTGACCATAACATGACTGGGATTCCCTTGCATTGCCAGGTGGAAGCCTGAACCTGCTCTCTTGGGTTCCAGAGCTAGGGGCAGTGTCTCACAGTTGCTCCTCCAGCCCGTATCCTTCCAGAAGTCCAGCTGGAGCTAGCATCTCCATGAGTCCTGCACTTTATCAAGCTGATATTTAGGTTCTCCTTCTCAGATTTACAGATGGGTTCCTGAGGCCCTGGGTGGAGGTCAGGGCCTTGGAACTGCCTAGTGGTGGAAGTTGAGGAGGATGGGCATTGTGGCGGTGCTGGGGGGAGGGTGGGTACACAAGTGGAGTGGGAGGACCACAGAGTTGACAATCTCTGCTACTTTGAAGGGCACAGGTGGCAGATACCTCAACTCCAGCATGCTTATGTTATCTCCCCTTTGGAGAGTGGGGTCTTTGCCCAAGACCAGGCCATGTACTTTTTCTCAAGTGCTTTTCTGAGCAGGAGGAGCGTATTCTTCTGGATGATTCATTTCTCTAGAGGTCTAGATATGGGTGGCATTGAGAAAGCATCAGGAATGGAAACTAATTATTATAAAAAGAGCTATTGTGGGTGGACTGAGGGAATGAGTTTTTCTAAGAGAATTCTCTCCTTTGAGATTGATGGACAGTTACGCCATCAGGAGCGGATCCAGCAGGGGAGGCCTTTGATGGACTAGATTGTGGTTTCTCATTCAGCAGCTGGTGTGTAGGTGGTTGGCCATAAATGAGTGGTTTGAACTTGCAGGGCCTACCTTTTAAACTTGTAGAGCAATTTGGGGACCAATGTTAGAAACTAGATGGCTTGGAATTCTCTGTCAGCAGGAGGTCTTGCTGACACTATGATGCTGATAGATCATGCAGTTGAGGGCTGGGGTGCGGGATGAGCCATCCATGTCCCCAACATAGTCCTAATATAGTCTGCCCTCAGAGAAGATGATGGTGTCCTGGAAGGTGTTTATGGTTCAGGAAAAGATGAAGGAGAGCCTAGAGCAGGTGGTGTGACAGGTGTGGGCGTGCAAAGTCCTTTCAAGCCCTGCTGAGAATGCAAATGAGAGATTTTCTAAGATTTTCTCCTGTTTCTTTCAGGAAATCTGTTTCATAGGAAGAAGCATTTCGATGCTTTTAAGTAATTTCTTTTCTTCGAATTACAGAACACTGTATTGTGTCCAGCAAATTTTCTCAGCCTGGGTGATGGTAGGGGTGGTTCATTTCCACACCTGTACTGTACCAAGTTGACCTCTGTTGAACTCTTTCAGCCTCAGATGAAGAAAGAAGGAAAAAGAATGCTTCTAATATTTCTTTGCCAGACCAGAAATACAGATCTCCGTGGGGAGTGGGGAGAGAGAAAATTCTGGAAGCAGATAATGGAGGCATGCTACTCTGCCGGTGATGGTAGGGTGTCAGGAAGGTAGTGGATACAGGGCTAGTGGATACAGCCTCCTTCCTGAGAGTCTGTCCTTACCAGCACCATCTAAGGCCCTGCCCAGTTGCCCACATTCCTTCTACTGGGAGAAAGCAGTTGGTCGCCCATCTCGGCCATCAGGTCAGCAACATTCAGTGAACTTCCCACAGAAATCTGCCACAGTCTGAGCTTTTGATCGCTTCCTGTAGTGTAATTCCCCCGGGGCCAGCCTCCCCTGCACTGATTCTCTGGGGAGACTCTTACTTCATGTGAGAGAGTAAATGAGTCAGTCTGCCCTGCCCTCAGAACGTCTAAACCTGATAGAGATTCCTCCAATTTTCCATCAACCTTCCCTATTTTCTACTTCTGACACAAGATTTTTTCCAACTAAAATTACACCCTGAAGGCCTTTTGGATGAGAATTAGAAAGAGGACAAAAATTAATCAAGTGAATTCTGGGTAATTTTGAACTAACGTGGGTCCACGTTTTTTCCAGAATATCTCTCTCTGCATGCTCCCCTTTCTTCACTTAACCAACTGCCTGTGGTTAGTATGATTAGGTCATGTTTCCAGAAAAACAACCCGGAAGTGGGTAAATGGTCTGCTTTTTTCATGGCGAGCTGGTGATTATGCTGCTGGCACCAAAGGTCAGATTTCCAGAAATCACATTTCTCTCCAGGGGAGGAGATCTCTGGCCTCCCAGTGGGCATGGATGGGCTGTTTTCTTTGTCTTTGTACTGCACAATCCTGACCCAGGCGTCCAATCTCTTCCAAGTAAGCTTGGGGCTCAGATCTGCTCTGCTGGGAGCACAGAGTGACAAACACTGCAAATCAAATATCCTGGCTAGATGTATCAGTGAGTTCAAAGTCAGGCCTCAGGAGGGCTGGCATAGCTGGTGCTGGCTTGGCTGAACCTTTATGTTAGGAGCTTGCCCAAACTGTGCCTTGGGCTGATAGACACAAGGCGCTCTGTAAATAGGTCAGGGTCTATTCTCTTTGGGATTAGATGATGGCTATGAGGTAGGCTGAGCAAATCCCATGACTTCAGGCCCCCTCATCCTGCTTGGGGGTTTTCTATTTGAAGACAATCTAACCTTATCTCACAAGTTTCAGGAAATTTCCAGATGGAGGAAATCCCCCACTGTTGTATTCTGGAGTCTTCCTAAGAGCCATGTTTGTTTATTTGTTTGTTAATTCATTCAGCATCAATTAATTGTCTACAGTGTAACGTCTTGGCATCACAAGGGAAGATAAAACATGTAGAGTGTAGGGGCCGGCCCCATGGCCTAGTGGTTAAGTTCATTGTGCTCTGCTTTGGCGGCCTAGGCCTGGTTCCTGGGGGCCAACCTACACCACCATCAGTGGCCACGCTGTGGTGGCAACCCACATACAAAATAGAGTAAGATTGGCACAGATGTTAGTTCAGGGCAAATCTTCCTCAAGTTAAAAAAAAAAAGAAAAAAATGTAGAGTGTATAAATTATACTCAGCCAAATTTAAATCCTGTTTCACCAAGTAGTACAAGGATCATTAAGTATGAAAACACTTAGTTGTAAGATCATTTATTCATAGCATTCTTACCCA